CCTAAATTTGGTTAAAAAAAAAAATTATAAACTTACAGATCCAAGCAGCTCCATGAAGCCCAAGCAGGATAAATACAAAGAAAAACAAATTCGTGCACATAGAGGTCACAGGGCTGAAATCCCATAGTAAGTAGCCAGAGAGGGACATCAGGGACAAGAGCTCAGTGATGCAGGTGACAGCTGAGATCCAAGCAGGGAGGCAGAGACACAATGGGCCTCTGAAGGGCTCAGCCTAGAATCCTCCACCAGGGCAGCTGACGGCCAGAGATGAAAGTGAAATACAGCTGCTTTCAACAAACACAGCCGGGGCTTGTCACCAGCAGACCTGCCGCCAGTGCTCCAGGAAATCCTTCACACTTCAGGCAGCGACACCAGCTATCTTGCAGCTCTCCAGGAAGGGGCAAAGAGCACCAGAAATGCTCCATATTCGGCAGATATTAAAAAAGAAAGAAAGAAAGAACTACTTGCCAAGCATGGTGGTACACATCTGTAACCCCAACACTCAGGAGGTTGAGACAAGAGGATCACTGCAAGTTTGAAGCCAGTTTAGGCTACACAGTAGCTCACGGCCAGCCTGGACTACACAGTGAGACCCTGTCTCAAACAACAACAATGAACAGACACTTTTCAGAAGTATCAGTGACCAGGAAATCCCTGGGAAAATGTCCAACAATATTGCTGGCCACTGGAGACAGCAAATTAATACAGCACTGAGGTTCCACCTTACTCAGAAAGTGGCTACCATCAAGAAATCAGAGAATAACAAGGCGGTAAGGATGCAGGGGGACGGAGCCTTTCACATTGTTGGTAGGAGCATACAAGGGTACAGTACGATGGAAATCTGTATGCAGAGTCCTCAAAAAACTGAACATAGAAATTCTATTTGACCCAACTATTCACCTTCCAGAAATCTTCCTGGAACAGTTACAGACATCATATTACAGTGATGTCTGCATAGCTGTGTTTATAGCAACACAGCTCAATAACTGTATCTTGGAAGCAGCCTCTGTGCCCATCAACAGATGAATGGACAAAGAAAATGTGGTGTGGGGCTGGGGATTTAGCTCAGCGGCATAAGCACCTGCCTTGCAAGCAGGCGGTCCTGAGTTCGATCCCTGGTACCGATAACAAAAAAAAAAAAAAAAAAAGAAAATGTGGTGTTTACACACAGGGAGTATTACTGTGCCATGGAGAAGGACACATAGGAATCACCTGTAGGCAGATGGATGCACCATGAGAGCATAATGTTAAGTGAAATAAATCAGACACAAGAGCTTAAATATCACATGGCTCCTCGTCTATCAGAAACCCAAAATATAAAGAATAAAATAAAAGGCAATAGGAAATAGGAACAAAGATCTTTTACAAAAAGGAAGAGACCAAGAGATGGAGGCAGGAGTAGAAAAGAGGATAGAAAAAGGAATTAAGATGTGTTATGTACGTGGACCAACTTGGGGAACCTAAAAGGTATGTACTGCAATTATGGACCAATAAAAATTGAGGGGAACCCCCCCCCCACAAAATGTACTTTTCCTCCTTCTTACAAAACACATGCTGTTTTAAGCCAAAGTGAGAAGATTCCCTTGTGGGGTTTATTATGTAGACAAAACTACTATTTATGAAAAACAGAGGAAGAGGGAGAAAGTGAGTGGTACTATACTGTTTCGGACTCTATTTCCTATGAAGTTGTATAACATTAACACTCCAACTGTAGCAATCTAAAGATGCATGTTGTAATCCCTACAATAACCATTAAAAAATAATAGGGTGTAGTTTATGGGCCAATAGAAAACTAATGTAATAAAAATTCCTAACTCAACAGAAAGTAGGAAAAGAGAAACAACAAAGAACATTCTACACTGAATCCAAAAATATCAATAATTATATTAAATGTAAAGGGACTAAATGCTGAGTAAACAGCAGGGATCTCTGAACTAGATAAAAAGCAAGCCCCATGGGGCCGGGAATGTAGCTCAGTAGCACAAGCACCTGCTTGGCAAATGTGAGGTACTGAGTTTAATTCCTAGTATCTACAAAAAGGAAAAAAATATGCTTTATGAGATTGTTATAAATACAAAAGCACAAATGGGAGCTGGGGATGTAGCTCAGCGGCATATGTACCTGCTTCGCAAGCACAAGGTCATGAGTTTGGTCCCTGGTACAGAAAAAAAAAAGGCACAAATGGGTTACAATTTAACAGCCAAGTATCAGGGCACATCCTTGTGATCCCAGCTAATCTGGAAGCTGAAACAGGAGGACCACAAATTCAAAGCCAGCCTGAGTAAAGCAGAAAGATTCTGTATCAAAATTTAAAAGGGCGGGGCTGGGGATTTAGCTCAACGGCATAAGCGCCTGCCTTGTAAGCAGGCAGTCATGAGTTCGATCCCTGGTACGGAAAAAGACAAAAAAAAAAAAAAATTTTTAAAAGGGCTGGGGTTGTAGCTCAGTGGCAGAGGGCTTGCCTAGCATGCAGGATACCCTCATACAATGCCCCAAAATAAACAACAAAAAAAAATTATATACTATATATATACTATATTATGCTATATATATTATACTATGCAAATAGTAAGAATAAAATTTTTATATGGCTTTGATACAAATGGATTTTTGTTTACCTATTCAATGTCATTTACCTGTTTCAAAACAATGCTTATATTTACTGTACAACAAAGGAAACTGCTAACAGATTGAAGAGCCATCCTACAGAATGGGAAACAAATTTTGCCAGCTAATATCTAGAATATCCAAGAACTCAAAAAATTAGTCCTCCTCCAGCTTTAAAGACAAATTTAAAAATGTGCATCTGAAATGAAGATACTTCTCAGACAGAAAAGTACAAACGGCCAAAAAAAAAAAAAAGGCATGAAAAAATGTTCAACATCACGGACCATTTGAGAAATGTAAATTTAAAACGACAGTGAGATTCTATCTCACCCCAGAAAGAAAGGCAAGAAATCAACTAATAACAAATGCTGGAGAAGCTCTGGGGAGAAAGCAATCCTTCCCATTGCTCGGAGGACTATAAACTAATACAACCACTGTGGAGATCCCTCAAAAACCTAAAACTAGAAATTCCATTTGACCCAGCTAGTCCCCTCTAGATACCTTCCCGCAAGAGTCAAAGGCTTCGTATTATAGTGACCCATGCACACCCATGTTTATGGCAGCACAACTCACAACAGCTAAATCTTCCAAACAGCTTGTAACCCCTTCAACTGAGGAAGGAATAAAAAAACAGTGGTTTGCAGTGCAACCATGAAAAGGTACAAACCTGAGTCATTTGTAGGAAAACGGATGCACTGCAAGACCGTAAAGTGAAATAAATCAGACACACAAGCTTAAATATCAAGTGGCCTCTTATGTGAAAAACAGATAATAGGGAAAAAAAAGAAAAGGTAGTGTAACCCAGTGTGAACAATGTTACTAAAAGTATACCTTGATTTACTACAATTGCCTTACCTTTTTTATGTTCTTTGGCTTATTTGCCTGCTTTTCCACCTGTATGAGAGTTAATTTTATAAGGTCTTATAAATATGAACCTGATACTAGGGGGTGAAAGGCAGGAAAAAAAGGAATTAAAATATGTTCTGTACATGGACCAATCCCCTACTCTGAGTATAATCATTACGTACTGCAAACATCAAGTTTACATAAGACACTTGTAGAAAGCTTAGACTCCTAGACCTTTGGGTTTCATAGATCCTTGAGTTTTTTCTATATTTGTTGGAGACTGAACCAAGGCCTCTAGGGTGCTAGACAAGCCCTTTACTGCTAAGCTAAATCCCCAGTCCTAACTGTCTAATACACTCACAGAACTTTGCTCCTTTTTTAGGGTGGCTGATTAAGTACTGGGAAGGTGTACTGGACTTCCCATGTTCGGTGTCTGTAGGATAGTAAAATTTACAGACTTTTATTTGACCCAGCTCTTGGAGCAAGCTAAGATTTTTTTTTTTTTTTTTTTTCTTTTTGAGAGACTGGGGATTGAACCCAGGATCTTTGCATTTAGGTACATCCCCCACCTTGAATCTAACTTGTTAAGTTGCCTGGGGATGAACTTGTGATTGTCCTATGTGAGCCTCCGGGAGTGCCAGGATTCAGATGTGTGACATACCTGGCCAATGATTCTAAAATGTTTGTTTCTCCTATGATCCATTTTTTTCTGCCGTATCTATGCTGGTCTCTACAGTAAGGACTTTGCATAATGGGATTTCAAAAAAGACCATCTCCCCTCTTTAAATAACCCTCAAGGGCTCCCAGCAGGGCAAGACTGGAAAAGCTCATGGTCCAACAACAAAGCAGCCTCATCCCACGCAGGCCTGTGGAATGGCTCTGTGGCATGTGACAAGTCAAAGGCGCTCTCCCTCCTCCCTCCGGCCATCTGGCCTTTGGAAGTCATCACCTCTATCCTAACAAACCCCACTAGTCTGGCGCCACGGTTTTTTCATGCACTTCTAACCCTGCAAAATGTGCACCTCCTGAACTAACAATACCTCCCCTGACCAAGTGGGCCTCCTTTCCTCCTCCTAGCTGGGAACTCTTGAAAGTGTTGTCAGAGAATGATCACTGCCCCGTGCTGCATTTGAATGCAAAGGCCTTACCTGAGCAGGACAGAGTCAACAGGAAACATTAACTTGGAAAAGGCACAATAAAAGATCCCTTGTGTAGACAGATGACTTGTAACCTCGAAGCCTCCATTAACTGCTTCGGGACATGCGGGCCCAGGTGACCAGGGTGACCAAAGCCAAGCATGAAGTAAGGATTCATTTCAGTGGCTCTGAGCCAAGACTTAAAGACTGCTGCCTCCTATCAAGAGTAAACATCGCACATCCTGTTTACACACCCAGCTTGTTGTCCACCTGCTCTTCAAAGCCCAAGCGACACCCCCAACTCACACCCCCACCCCCACCCCAACTTCCTGCTGGCTGGGGTGCTAGTGGGGTGTCCTACTCATTCCTCAGAAGCGCCTCCTCCGGAAGACAAAATACTCTGCATTACAGTAACTTTTAAAGAAAATACTTTATTATATCGTGAAAAAAAAGGTATCAATCAACTAGATTCATACTGGTTTGAAAAAAAAACTGAACATTTATTAATTAGTCTGTGGACATCCCGCTCCACACAGGAAGGGGAGGGGCTGCATTCTCTAAGTATTGCACAGTCTGGAGGAAAAAAAACGAAACAAAACAAAAAATAACCAAAAAAGGGGGGAAGGGGAGGGGAAAAAAAAAAATCACATGATGCTGGGAACCATCTCACATTATGAACAATCTACCAAGAAACATTTAAAAAAAAAAAAAAGGAAAACCCTTTGTTTCTACAGTAGCTTTGAGTTTCTAGTTCTCGGAATGACTGTATTCCATGGACATGTCAGTAACAGGAAGCTTCGTTCTAGCAATCCTTTGTGCAAATATTGATAAAAAATATATATATATAAAAAATAATGCAATTCATTCATTGCTTGCCATCAGCCCGGGCACCCATAGCGGGTCACGCTGTGAGCTTTGCCTGCAGCTCCATCTCCGCAGCCCGCTTGAGGGCAACATCCACAAGCAGCTGAAATCCACTAAAATCCTGGTTGAGGTCCGGGGGAGTGGGTGGGGGGGTATTGAAGAGGCCGCTCTGTGCGTTTGCACCAGACCCTGATTTACACATGTCCTCCGGGAAGCTCAGGCAGGTCTCCGTGAGGCCGCCAGCTGCTATCTGCTCCGGGTCTACGCTGGCTCCCACCCCAACCGGCTGGCACAGGGAGAAAGACACATCTTTCAAGGCAGTCACCGTGGTGTGGCAGATCACGGAGGGGCGAGGCAGTGCGGGCCCTGGGGATGCTGGCTTGGGAGACAGTGGGCGGCCCAGGGGCGGGTTAGGTCCAGCTGTGCAGGAATGCACTGGGCTGTCCTCCAGGGCTGGCATGAAGTTTCTGATGCCCATCGCAGCCTCCACAGCGCTGGCCTCAGAAATCTTGGCCCCACGGCGGGAAATGGTGAACTGATTGGGATCCTTCCCATCCTTTCTCAGCATGTCTGGGAGCAGCCTGCGGCGGGCGTTGATGAACCAGTTGCAGACCTGGAATCACAGAGGGGTGCTCTCACACCTCCTGGCCTTGGAAGAGGTGACAGACCCCTCCCAGGAAATCCTCCTGCTAACTCAAATTTGCTCTGGGGTCTCACTGTCCTTCAACCCTGGTGTGTGTATGGGGGGAGGTTTACATTCTCAAACACCTGCAAATGACTCACAAGGTTTGCCTTTAACTCTGCCCTTGTTACCCTGTCACCTACTGCCCTGGCACTGAAGTTAATCAACGACAGGAAAGCCTTTCCTCTAAGAGAGCCCCACCTCCCAGTAACTGATTTCTACCAGTTCAAATGACTGTGTCAACAGCAGAACACGAATTACCTCACCCAGGTCTGTCCTTGTTTAAATTTCAAACCAGTTTCCTGGGCAATAGAGAAAGGTTTCATCTTTTTTTTTTTTTTTTTTTTAATGTCTGTGGCAGAGAGGAGAGCTGTCTTTGGAGCATTAAAGGAAATGCTGTTTGGCAGATGACTGTCAAGTGCTCCTGCACACTCTAAATAGCCATTTATTAGCTTTTAGCACTGTGAAGGTTACCATATAAAACTAGTCCTTTTTGTTTTTTGTTTTTTGAGTGGGGAGGCGGTTCAGGACCTATCACACAGAAATGCTAGAAAATGACTCTGAAAATTCAAAATTGTGTGCACAGCCTGGGGGTGAAACAGGGAAGCAGCGCTGGCCCACCTGGGCCAGGGCCCGTCCCCCAGCCAGGAGGTACCTGCAGCGTGGACAGGTGCGTCTGCTGGGACAGCAGCGCCTTCTCCTGCTCTGAAGGGTAGGCGTTGTACCGGTGCTCAAACAGCCAGTCCCGCAAGATCTGCACAGACTCCTTGGGCAGGTTGCCCCTTCTCCTCCTCTTGCTGGAGCTGGCGGATGATGAAAGGTCTAGGGGACTGTCCATGCTGTCCTCATCCTCGGTCTCACTTGCGGATACCATGACCACACCTAGGAGAGGACAGAGGTGGCCGTCACTGGTGCTATCAGCAGGGAAGCTATCAAGACGCATGTAATCTACAGGGTAGTTGTGTGATTGTGTTTTCCCAACTACAGAGGGTGAAATAAAGGACTTGTGTTTCCTGTCCCTCATTACCAGGGAACGGGCAAAGCCTCCCAGAAGAATGTGCCGGGCAGACACATGGTAGGTTCCCAACCCCCTTCTTCCAGGCTGTGCTCCAGGATTTAACTTCTCAGTCCTCTGGCTACTGCTCAGAAAGTTTATGTTACTCAGAGTGACTAACTCGATACACTGACAACAGAAACGTTATTAGGCCACCAGAACGTGTCCACTAGCCTCTCAGGGTCACTGTCAACCAGGGTGAGCAAGTTAGCAGTTTTAAATGTTTATCCTCCTCCTATCACTGATGGTTTGAAAGAAAAGAGGATTTGCACATCCCTCCCCCACTAATAGAGGGGGGGGGAAAATCACATATGTAACATGTTAGTATCCTAAACGTAAAATACTTAAAATGTTCTGCAAGAACATTTCTTATTCGCTGCTATCTACATTTATTCAAACCTAGGCCCCTGCTTTGAGTAGACAGTAACTTTAAATTGGAACCACTGCAGTTTTCAATTTCATTACACAAAATATTTTCCCCACTATTAATACATAAGTGAGATGTCAGAAGATACCAAACTTCAAACCTTCCATAAATTTCAGCTGCCAATTTAATACCAGCCAAGACTACTATGCTTCTCAATAGAGTTCAGACTTCAATCCACACATGACAAAGAACACTGAATATGCACTCCCAAGGGAAGTCCTTTTGGTTGTAAGTACTTTAATCCTACCAGAAATGTTAAGAATTCACAAGCGTAAGAACATTTAAATCTGACAATGATTTCAATAAAAATTCAAGACCCGCCTAGATCTTCACATTTGGGCCTCACTTTGACCTTAAAAATTTCAAATAAATGCCATTAACCCTGCTTTTTGAAACTACAACAACTCTGAATGGCTGAAGAAATATTCTTTTTAAAGACAATTTAACACTTTTAAAAATACAAATAAGTTAACAACTACAAGCATGTTTTTAAAATACTAAATCTTTTGTACTAGGAAAAGTCATTTTAAAAGGTTTGAATTTTTAGCTCTGTAAACTTTTTCTTCTGTAGTCTGTAATTTTGGTGAAAGAAAAGCAACCAGTTTTAATTGAATTGGCTTACCCTGACAGGAAAAAAAAAAAATTTTTTTTTTTAATTCTTCCTAGGTGCAAACCAGTCACCCAGTCTCTAAAGAGCTTTCTGAATGCCAGCAATCGGCCGACTCGGCTTGGTGACAGTTTGAGCTTTGGACTGCAGGGGGCCGAAGGTGTGGGAGGGCGTTCCTCTAAGAAAGGAAAAAACCCTGCACAAAGCCAGCAAGTTGTAACAAAGGACGTGCATGATTCCGCAAATTCACCGTAGCTCAAGGCTTTTAACAAACAGCCATAAATAAACCATACATGAATCTCAACGTTTTAACTGCCGTGTTATTTGAAGTTTCTCTTCCCCCTGAAGATTTAATTAAGCAGTTTAAAAAAAAAATCAAGTTAAAGAAAGGGCAGAGCTTTAAAACCGAAACTGCTTTCACTGCTGAGAAACTTTCAAAACCCATATTAAAATTTGGGTAAAAAACTATGCGGAAAAATAAAACCTTAACAAAGTACCAATGAGTTTCTTGGTTTGATAGCTAAGGAAATCTCACTTCTAAACACGTGTCTCCAGTTAACTGAACAAGGAAAGCACATTTGCATAAAGCAATTTGTTTAAACTCTCCAGCATCTGAAAAGCCAGACTTCTCCAAGGCTTTTTTCTCTCCCTCTTTTTTTAAAAAAATAAATCTCAAAAATTGGAAATTTTGCTCATTGAGCAGTGAAGTCCCCACTGGAAGTTGGTAATAAAGTTTGAGACCAACAACAACAAAAAAAAAAACCCGAAGTCTGCCCTTTGATCTACTAGCTTAGTTTGACAAGAAGCCTGATTTTTGAGAAAAGGTTAGTGACAAACAAAAGTAGATTTCAGTTAAGCGACCCCCAACTGCGAGCCGACTTCACTTAGTTCATTTGAGCAGGGGGAAGGAAAAAAAAAAAAAAAAAAACAATGCCAATCCTCTGGGTCTGTAACAAACATTTCCAATATGTGTACAAAGCTGGAGGAACCGGAAGTGAAGGCTGAAGTCGTCCCCGGGCTGAAACCCATGCTCGCTGCTGTCAGGGCTGTTTTCAGTAAAACTCTCCCTCCTCCTGATGGTGGCTCAACTTGGAAAAACAAAAAGGCTTTTTCCTCGTTACTCATTTCCTACTGTAACAGAGCCCTTTGAAAAGTTTCCCGGTTACGACTTGTTTCCAAACCTCTTGCTCGGCTGCTTACGCTTTTAAAAAATGTGGTTGGGTGGGGGACAATCACAAGCCTCTTACTCCACTCAGACAAGGAAATGCAGCTTGGAAAAGCCGCAAGATGGCCCGCGGATCCCACGGCTCTGGGAAGCAGGCTGGAGTCTGCACTTTTTTTTCTGAACAACTTTGAAAAAAAAAAAAAATCAAGAAGGGGTTGGGGGCGGGGGGTGGCACGCCAGAAGTTGGTTGTAAAGTTGGATTTCAGAAGTAGAAAGAAAGGCCACTAAAGCAGAATCTAGAAGATCAAGGGACATTTACTTAGGGAAACAGCAAACCGAGCCTGAGTTTCCGGGGACCCTCTCCCTTCAGGAGAAGCAAGAGGAATGGAACTTTGAAAACTTCTTCCGCGGTAGCCAGGCTGACGCAGCCAAGAGCACCCACAAAGCGAGGGGCAAATCCCTCTGCAAGAATTAAACGCGATGTGAGAGCAAAAAGCCTCGAGGGGTTTTCCGAACCGAACTTCTTCCTGCTTGTTTTTAAGCCACTTTATATCTTTTTTGGCAACCCGGGGCTTTTTTAAGAGGTCGCAGTACTGTGACACATCCATGATTCCCTGAGTTGCAAGCACTTTTGTTCAGATTTTTCTAAGGCAGACAATGGGCAGGCGGGGAGCCCCCTCCCAGGTAGCCGGGTGCGGGGGAGGGGGGGCCGCGGAGCGCAGCTTTGTTCTGGCGAGGGGTTCAACCCCCACCGAGCCTGGCCACTGCAGACCTGGCCTGCGACTGCCAACCCACATCCTCCAGTCTCTGCACCCCGAACAGGGGCCAGGGAATCCTGAGAAAGGGAGAATCCTGCCCCCCATCCCCGCGAGCCGTAAAACAGTCACCAAGTTTACCCTCCAATTCGTCACCTTCCATCGTTTTCCAGGAGTCGGTGCAAAGCAGGATCGGGGACCCCCACTTTTCCCTGGCGCCCGCAGTCCCAGCCTGAATCCTCGGCGAGGGGAGGGGAACAGGGATAGAGGGGGGAGGGGGCGTTAGGGGGCGGGGCCCAGTGGAGCGAAGAAGGAGGGTGCAGGCTGCGGGGGCTGAGAGCCGACCCCACTGCAGCTGGGACAATGGAGCCTTCTCCACCCCGCCCCCCGCCCAGCACCCAGCTTTGCATCTTGTGCCCCACCACCACTCCGCGAACACAGCCCCTCACTTGCGCCCTGAGCTCCCGGGAACATAGAAAGCGTCCTTGCACGGGACCAGATCTCGGTGCTACCAGGGCCACAAGGCTTTGCGTAATGCCCCACGCATTTCCGGAACCAAGTTAAATGTCCCCAACTTGAGAAGCGCCCAGGTTTCCAGGGGGTCCCTCGCAGAAGCGTCAACCAGGAGGCCTCCCTCCAAGGGACCTGGGAGTTCACGCCTCATTTCACTTCCACTGAGGCTACTGGTGGGCGTGGGGCGGCCTGGGAAGGCCCTGCGTGTTTCGGGGTCTCCCACCAGATCCCCCACCAGACCCTCAGCGCAGAGCTGCCGCCGGGCTCTGGAAGAATGCGGGTTCCAGTCCGGGCGCTCCTGGGCATGCGCAACTGCGCCTCGCCAGGTCCCCGGGCGATTAACTTGTTTTGAGCCACTCCACATAAATCACAACCGAGAACCCTATCCCGTCCGCAAGGGGCCACTCGGGGGACCTCCGAGACGAGGACTCCAAAGTAAACTTCAAAAGGGATTTCATAGTCTTCGACCTTTCGGGGTTGTTCCCCCCCCCCCCCCTGTAGGCTGACGGCAAGTTTTAGTTGTAAATCTTCCAGAACGCTCCGTGGAAACAATGACAGTCTCGCTCTTTGAACTTACAACCCGAGTCTGCCTGTCACACTCGACTACACTCCCACTGCACGCCGCCGTAAGTTGCTGGCCCCGTAAGCCAAACTCCTCTCATGTTGCCCCACTTCATCGTGGGAAAACTTTCAAAAAGTCTTCACTTTCCAAAGCTGTGCGCACCCGAGAACGATGGGGAAAGGGGCTCGGGGGGTTACATTCCTCGGATTGTGAAAAACACCAGATCCCCAAAAGAAGAATGCTGGGGTCGGTCCAGGGGGATGTGAGGTCCCCGCCACCCACCTTTCAGACAAAGGCGCAGGTCCTCCCGAGCAGACCCCACGCCCCGCGCCGGCCGGAGAACCTGGGAGCCACGCGGCAGCGTGGGGAGGCGGCAGAGACAATGAAACTTGGAGGCGCACAAACACGGCGCCGAGCGTGTTCTTGACAAAGTGCCAGCAGCATGGAGAGCTCGTCTCCTCGGCGGCCCCTCGTGTTATGTCTAGGGGAAAAACCGCTCGGGCTGTTCCAGACGCAGCCTCAACAAAGAGGGCGGCCGCCGCTCCAGCCCGAGCGCCAGCCCCGGGGGCGGAAAAGTGTCCCCGGGTCACTCGCCCCGGGTCCGCGCGCAGCCCCGCCACCGCCTCACCTTTCCGGCTTTTCATCCTGGACCGGCGCTCCCAGCGCGAGGCAGGGCTGGGGTCTCAGGGGACCAGCGCGCGTCCTCCTGCGCCGCCGGCTGTCCGGTAACTTGGAGGACGCGTCCCGGCCGTTATTGCTCCACAAGGCGCTCGGATCCAGGCGCCCGCTCCCCGGGTGGAACGCGAGGGACACTCGGGCTTCCTCCCGCCGGGGTGCTGCGCGGCCGGCCCGGGCTCCCCTCCCGCGGCGCTCCTTTGTTCCCCGCTCCCGCCGGTACACCTCGGCGCTGTCAGAGTGCGGGCGCGAGGGAAGGTACGGGAGGTCCTGCTCCGCCCCGCCCGCCCGCCCGGCCCCCGCCCGCCGCCCCTCCCCCACCTTCCAGCCCGGCCGGAGCGGCCGGGTCGCAGCCGCCGCCGTGGGGACCTGGCCGGTGTCACCGACCCCCCGTGTGAGCGGCCGAGCCGCAAAACGCAATAGTCCGCGCCGGCCGCGCGCTCGCCGCCCGCATCCCTCGTGCGGCCTTCGGGCCTTTCTTCCCGGGGCTGGCGAGCACGCGCCCGCCTAGGAAATTGCAACAGATGGAAAAGAGGACGCCCCCTCCTCCCCCCTCCTCCCCGGGGAGGAAAAGCCTCTTGCTTTTTGACAGCTGCCCCAACTACACCACCGAGCCCGCTCCCGCCGCCGGAGACAGCGGGCTGGTGATTCAAGGGGCGGGGCGCGAGAGGAAAGTATTCGGGACAAGAAGCAACTTCTCCCGGACGCGCGGCTGCCCGGCACACGCGGGCGCGGCGCGGCGCACCCTCTCCTCCGGGGCTCTTCCTCCCACGGCCACCGTGGGGGCTGGGTGGGGAGGGTGGGGGTACGAGACGGAGACACCCAGGGCGAATGTCTGTCTGCCGCTGCCGGGGGCTAGAGCTGCGAGTTCCGGATTGGATTGCATGGCAGTTTCGAAATCGAACACGTTGCGCAGACACTTGTCACGCTCACATGCTCTTTAAACGTCTCGGCTCGGGGACGGCCCGAGCACGAGCCCGCCCCGCCGCGACCCCTCCACCCCCGGACCCCGACAGCTGCGGCCTCCAGACGAACGGGGCGACCGCGCCGTGCCTGCTCATCCGTTTCGGTAAACAGTGCCTACTTTTAGGACTCGAACGCCGCCAGGGGACACCCCCTCCCCTTGTGTATTTAAAACAGAAACTAGCGTGAGGTCAACACGCGTCGGTTTATTTCGGGCGAAACCCGCTCTTTTAAAAGACCCGGTGCCGCGGGGGCTGATTCCAAAACACGCGTGCCCCTCCCCCGCGTCTGCCTTTCGCGTGGGTAGGGCTTGTTTTGAAGCAAAGCAAAAGAGCTGTCTTGCGCCAGAGAAAAACTTCCCGCAACACGAAAGAAAGAGAAAGAAGCCCAAACGTAAAGAAGCCCAGACGCAAGTCCGCGCCCCAGTCCTCTCCGGTTTCGGCGCTGGGCTGTTTTGTTTTGCAACCTGGATGGAGACCTCGGCAGCAGGAAGCTGCAGGAAAAGAAAGTTAAACCTGGGGAAGAACAGGAACTAGACTTTGAGTCTCCATATAGGATCACCCTGAAAATTAAAGCCAGCCCGCCCCTCGCCGAGTGTGCGTGGAGGCCAGAGTTGAAAAAGCTCGGGTGGGTTTTCCAGTGACCAGGGCTTCAAATGAATCAGCAAGGGAAAAAGCGTCACTAAGCTGGCAGCAACCTTAGGGCTTTTTTTTTTTTTTTTTCCTTCTGCGGTTTTTGCCGATCGCTCGGCAGCCACCGACGAGAACGCACACATCTGAAACGAGCCCGCGGGGCTGGGGCGGGGGCCACGGTCCCGGCGGAGGTGAATCAGTGCCGCGCCGGGGAGCCGGAGAGGGGCGCGCGTCCCCGCCGCCCGTTGGAGGCCGCCTGGCTCCGGCATTTGAAGGGTTGTTTGTTGCTGGGATTGGTGGCTCGCCTCCGCCGGGGAGCCGGGAGAGGAGGAGGAGAGACGCAGGGAGGAGGAGCCGCGGGGCCCGCGACGCTGAGACTCCGCGGTCTGAGTGGCTGCAGCCGCGTCTGGGTCGGCGCGGTTACTGCGGAGACGCTTTGTTTGCTAACTTCGAAGGCGGCCTCCCTGCCTCGGCCGCTTTTGGGGCCGCTGCCCAACACGCCTCGGGGCCGGTTTAACCCTGCCCCTGCCCGGGACAGAACTGTTTCCTTCTTCCCGGTACTGCAGCTTGGCCACGCGGTGGCTCTCATGATGTGCACAAAGATAGCTTTGCTTTCGGCCGCACAGACTTGGCTAAATGAATGCAAGTCTCGGGCGACAAGGATGGAAACCTAGAGAGCGAGCACTTACTTTACAGCTTGAGAACAAACTTTACCACGCTAGGGGGAGGGGTGGAGAAAATTAAAAGCCTCTTTCATAGTAGGAGGAGGGAAAAGTGCAGACTGAAACTCGGCTGGAGGGCCGGCTGGATCCGGCCCATACACACCTTCTGCCCAGGCAGATCATACCGAGGCAATTATTAAGCTAGCAGGAGGCTGCAGAAAGCAACACAAGCGAATTCTGTGTTGCACCAGGAGCCTCAGAGGCCTCGGAGTAGATGCTACCGCACCCTGGCCCCAGGGCCAGGTGCCAAACCCGGCTGCAACTCTCCACTGCTGGTGCATTCTGGGAAGAAAGTGCCTGGAGTCTTCAAAATCAGCTCCGAGTTGGGATCTAGTTGGGTTTTTTGCGTGTGGTTTTGTTTTGTTTGAGACAGGATTTTGCTCTGTAGTCCAGGATGGCCTGGAACTCACTGTGTAGCCCAAACTGGCCTCCAACTCACAGGGATCCTCCTGTGTCAGCCTTCCTACTGCTGGGATAACAGGCATGGGCCACCACGCCCTGCTAGGATCTATTTTGTTTATTGCTTTTCTCAAGGTGGAAAAACAAGTTTCAGTTCTGACTCTGTCAGACCGTTAATGTCTCAGGGCCTCTCCTTAACACAGATTTAAAAGACATTTAAGATTTTTTTTCCCCCAGTGTTTTAAAGGAAAATTGTACGGACTCCCATTTACTGCCTGTTGTCTGCCGAATTCAGATGAACCTTAGCTGAATTCAACACAGAGGCGAGTGATGATAAACGTTCTTGCCCATTATCTTTTCCTTTCTCCATTTGGCGTCTTTATCTTCTGAAACTGTCTCAAGGCCAGGCAAAGAAACAACGTTGCTATACAGTGACTTTTCAGAAAACTCAGACAGAAACTTGGAAAGGCACAGAGGCCCGACGTTAATAAATGCAGCCGTTATTATTTTGGACCCCAGGCCCGTCCAATGGCTGGAAGCCGTATTTATTTCCGCTCTGCTGCTCAGCTTTCCATTTGGGTGCCACAAGCTTAGGCTTCTAGTGTCAGGGCAGGCAAAGATTTCTAGGCGACACACAGAGGGCTGGGCTCCAAAGGCTGGACAAAGGGCAGGTAGTCATCTGGACACCTGTTGGATGAGAGAGGTTGACTGTCTGTCCGTGGTCCCTTCAAGGACCTGGGTCCAGGCCAGGCCGTCTATGGCGACTTCACAATGTCATTGGGGATAATTCTCCCCTGGACAGCACAAGAGTGGGACTAGTGCTTCAGCTCCTGTTTTGGGTCATATTTCTGTGGTCTGCTCTTTCCTCCTTCCCTTCTTTCTCCTCCCTAAAAGACGTCGCTTCGCTACCTAGGTATGTGTTGGAATCCAGGAGACAAGCAAACAAAACAGAACAGACAGAACATGAATGCCTGGAGCCTTGGCCTCCTTTATTCCTAGCCTCCTGGGTCTTCACTGTGCTATATAGTTCATGAGACAGTTACTTAAATGACCTTGCTTCATACCCACCCTGGCCATGCACATTATTACTATATTTTTTGAAATTTAAATAACGCAGTCATATGTAACAGCGAAAAGGCAAAAGTCAGGCCTGGGGCCCCCATGCATCCCATCCCCCCTCAAGTGATCTCAGGGAAGTGCTGTGCTTTAGGAAGCTGGCGTGGCACAGGCAGACACTGACCTCTGACGGCTTCACCAGGGGACCCAGTGGCCTGACGCCTGCTGGACAGGCGCTGCCCCGCTGAGCTAGGCCCTGGCCAGCTCCCCTGCCCATCTGCTTTGCAGGAGTTGGAGTCCTGCAAGTTTGTTCATTTGCCTGGCTGAAATCACGCCCCACCCCGCCCCAGCCCTGATGGAACAGTAATGAGGTTTTCAAGCTCACTTTTTCATTTATGGAGCATTTCTCCTAGCGATGAGCAGGGAATATAGCTCCAAGCTGTGGATGGTGCAGTTGGACTGGGACTATTTGAATAAGTGGAAAATGGGGGTCAAGTGAAAGGAGCTGCTAACCCCCGGGGGGGGGGGGCTGCACCTGCGCCAGGGTCAGCTCAGGTGAGATCTTTTGGGGCCCAGGGAGTATATTTGGGTCTGAGAGATAGAATACCTAGGTCAAAAGGAATGTGTGTGTGTGTGTGTGTGTGTGTGTGTGTGTGTGTGTGTGCTTTCAAAATTTTGACAGATACTGCCAAATTACCTCCTGTTATGGTTCAAATATGAAGTGTACCCTAAAGCCCCATGTATTAAGGGCATGATCTTGACAAGTGTGGTGGTGCAAGCCTGTAATCTCAGCACTCAGGAGGCTGAGGCAGGAGGATCACCAAAGCCTGTTGGAACTTTCTATTGAGACCCTGTCAAAAACAACAAAACAAAACAAAAAGGGGGGCGTCACTGATGATAATCTAGTGCCATTCTCCACTGAATGGCCTGCAAGAGGCAGCAGCTGGAGGAAGTGTCTTGAAGGGTTTATCTTGTCCTGGCCCCTTCCCCGCCTGCCCTCCACCCTCTGTTTTTTGTTGTTGTTGTTGTTTTTTTTTTCTTTTCCCTTTTTATCCATACGCTTATGCGCTGAGCTAAGTCCCCAGCCCCTTTGTTTCTATGTTGCAGTGGGACCAGTAGCTTCCTCACCAAGCCTGTCTGCTTAGGCCCCCCCCCCCCCCCACTGACCGGGGCTGGAACCTGGCAGAAAAATCAAGTCTTGTTCTGGTTAAGGGTTTATGTCAGAATTGTCACAGCCAGGGCTGGGGATTTAGCTCAGTGCTTAAGTGCCTGCCTGGCAAGCTCGAGATCAGGACTTCCATTCCCAGCACCAAAAAAAAAAAAAAAACAAAAAACAATTGTCACAGCCTTGAAATTTGTCACAGCCTCCAAGTGAGCTTACCTACTGAGACCTCCAAGAAATGTGCTTGAAAAGACCTGGTGGCACTGCGTAGTGTTGGTTTCCAGTTGGGCTGTCCAAGGCAAACCAATAGCACCTAAGGTAGGTCCAACAACCCAGCCCTTTTAATTTCTTTTTTCTTGCCTATTCATAACTTGTACCAAACTTTCTACTGGTATGGTTATATTTTTCTAAATATTTTTCTTTTTTAAGGTAGGAGCTAGACTGTTTTGTAACTTAAAAGCTCATCTAGCTGGGTGTGGTGGAGATGCCTGTGATCCCAGCACGTGGGTGGGTGAGGCAGGAAGATTGCCAAGAGTTCAAGGCCAGCCTGAACTACACAGTAAGACCCTGCCCTCCCCAAAATGTGCTATGGAAGAGTAAAAAGTCCTGAACTAAATGCAGAGAAGCCTAATGTCTTGATTTTCAAACACATAGTGCTTTCGCCAAGCTCCAGATTCATGCAGGGGAGTTGAGCCTTCAAGGGCCCCGCCCCCAGCGTCTGATTCCCTCCCTCTGTCTGCTTGGAGGGTTGATTCATTCACCTGTTTCCATTTATCACCATCACTGCGATCATTTATAACAGGAACAAAGGGGCGAAATATGGAGGAGTAAAATTAACAAGAAATATGTGTGAGTTTTATAGAGGAATGTTTAGACACACAGGCAGACTTGGGGAAAACAAAGGCAGCTGATTCTGGCTAGCTGGTTACTTTGGTTGTTTTTTCCATTGACAAAGCAGTGTTGCAATTTGTAGCCATGAAACTTTTCAGGTAGCCAGGGAGGTCTGCCAGAGCAGAGTTGGGGAGAGGGTGGTTCGGCACTCAGTACTTTTTTATTTTTTGGTTTGTTTGTTGAGGCTGGGTCTCACTGCTGGCCTTGGAATCACCGCGTAGCCCAGGCGGATCCTCCCTCCTGTGGGTGCCTGAGTATTGGGATTTCAGGCGGACACCATCACTTGGCTAAGCACATTTTAAAGGGTTTTTAAAATTGTACTGGAGAATAAAGAGCGAGCAAAGAACGGTGAGGCAGATTAGAATACAGTGGAGATTTAGATTTTGGTGAAAGCGGCTTTTCACTTCAGGGAAAAACTAATAGGAACCATTCCTGGATTTAATCACCCTTGATTTAGTTAAAAATAAAGCCAGGCCAGAGTCACAGTGGTTCATCTCGTAGTCCTGGCTATCCGGGAGGCTGAGGCAGGAACCCATAAGCTTGAGGACAGCCTGGGCAACATAGACCCTGTCCAAACATTAATAAGCCAGTGTGGTGGTGCATGACTAAAATCTGAGCAGTTTGGGAGGCTGAGGCAGGAGTGTCCCAAGTTCCAGCCCAGCCTGGGCAATTTAACAAGGTCTTGTCTCTAAATAAGTAAAATAGGAGTGGGACTGTAGCTCAGTATGAAGGCCCGGGGTTCAGTTCTTGGCACTGCAAAAATAAATACATCAAACAAATAGCCAGATCTCCATCTTACTCCTTTAATAAATGTACAGTTAGTGTGAATTTTTTTTTTTTTTTTTGTCTTTTTCCTTTTTTATCAGTACCGGGGATCAAATTCACGACTGCCTGCTTCCAAGGCAGGTGCTTATGCCACTGAGCTAAACCTCCAGCCCCCAGTTAGTGTGAATTTAAATCCAAAACATAAAAGCAGTTTAAGATACACCTATGTGCTGCCGTGGTGATGTGCTTTGGAGTCCCAGCACTGGGGAGGCGGAGGCCAGCCTGAACTGCGGAGCAAGTCTTGTCTCCAATAAAATAAAATCAGGTCCATTATACAATGGCAAATCTCAAAGCCAGGTGTGTGGCAGCTGTAGCTCCAGGCTGACCTTTGACAGCACCTGGTGGCAGCAGCTGAGAGGAGGAGAAACTGCTGCAACTGGGGAAAGGGGCTGGCAGGGCCCAGGAGGCTCTGCTCCATGGGGTGGGGGTTGGATCCCTCCCCGCCCCCAGCAACAAAACCGCTCTGGGCCCAGGTGAGGAGACTCCGCTCTGAAAGGTGCAAGTAAATATGTGATCTTGGGCAGGAAGATTTTCAAATCAGAACTCAAAATTGAGAAATGATAAGCATTTTCTTAAAAAAAATTTTATGTTCACCTGTAATCCTAGCACTCTGGAGGCTGAGGCAGAAGGATGGCTGTGAGTTCAAGGTTAGCCTAAACTGTATAGTGAGACCAGTCCTTAAAATAAAATAAAATAAAATATCCTAATCTAAACTTTAAAAAAAAAAGAATTTAGGTTACACTAAAGGAAAAATTTTCTAAAATTTTCGAAGCAATAAAACTGGGAAAAAACAGTTACGGCATATGTCAAGAAAATGACCAGTTGACTTACGAAGAAAGAAGAGTCCTGTTTTTAAGAAGCTGACCATTTTCCTTGCCTGCTTACCTGTTGATGAACAGAGGTTCATACACTGGGGGGGGGGGCACCACACTTGGCAAAGTGGTCTCGGGGACCCCGTGGGACCTGTTGGTCACTTTGCCTAAAATGGCCTTGGGCAGCCTGTGACTAAGTAGAAAGAAGGTTTTTTCCTTTCTCTTTTCTTTCTTTTTTTTTTTTTTAAACAAAGCTAGATGCAGAACTTTAAGGTAAAGCGTTTTGGCAAAATCTTTACATTCCTATATATTTTTGGAGTGCTAGGAAAACAGTCACAGCAGCTGTCTTTGGGGGACAGAACGGTGACAGTGATGACTGGTGGGGCAGGACTCCCCTATCACCTGTGGTCCCTAAGTAACAGCCTGCCGGACCCTGGGTGTCATTTTCGTACAAATCCCCAATGACAGTCACTTTGTTTTTGGTACCGGAAACCAAACTCAGAACCCCAGGATTGGGCACTCAGGTTTGGTTCTTGTTTGTGTTGGATTTTCTCACATCCTGTGTAAAAACCTGAGTAGGGATCTAAAATGGTACACAGTCTTGACTGAGGTCCAAGAACAGTTGGGCCTCCTGTCTGGGAGACTGAGGCAGGAGGATTCAGCCTGGCAGTTTAGTGGCTTTGAGAGACCCAGTCTCAAAATATGAAAAAGAGCTGGGAACCAGCTCAGGGCAAAGGCCCTGGGAAAAAGCGCCCTGGTGGTTAATCGTTAGCGAGTGTGAATAACCCTTCCTGGGTCTGCTGGCTGGTTAGTCATTGTGTTTATAAGACACAGAACAAAAGCCATCAGGCCATTTATCAAGCGGCTTAGGATTTGTATGACCACATCTGCAAAATTAGAAATGTTTGTCCTGGTACAGGTGGAGCTTGGTCCTGGCCAAGATTTACAATGTACAAAAACAGGGCACCCCGCCTGCCTTGCAAGCAGGCAGTCGTGAGTTCAATCCCCGGTACCGATAAAAAAGAAAAAGACCAAAAAAAAAAAAAAAAAAAAGATAAGGGCTGGGGATTTAGCTCAGCGGCATAAGCGCCTGCCTTGCAAGCAGGCAGTCGTGAGTTCAATCCCCGGTACCGATAAAAAAGAAAAAGACCAAAAAAAAAAAAAAAAAAAACAGGGCACCCAACACTTGGGAGGCTGAGGCAGGACGACCATCAAGAGTTTGAGGCCAGCCTGGGCTACATCATGAGTTCAAAGTCAGCCTGAACCTCATGGTGAGACTCAGTCTCAAAAAAACAAGCACAAATAAACAAACAAAAATAGTGCAAGATATTCCCTCAGTGAGCACATAGATGCTGGGCGAGTCTGGGGGCTGCAGGTCAGGGCTGGGGGGGTGGGAACCTTGCTGTGTTGGTCTGTGAGGCTCACATGTTACAGCCCCAAGTATCTCTCAAGCCACCCACCCAGGATGCCCCCAGAGGCCAGGACAGCCCTTCTGTGTCACCATCAAAGGAAGGGGAGCTTACTCTCTGCTCAGCCTTTTGGAAGGAAGCTAGACATGCAAAGCACTAGCTGCCCAGCCTTGATAAACTGTATTTTTAAAAGTCGGACATATATATCATTTTATTTTTCCATTTTTTTGAGTGTTGTCCCTTTAAGGCAGAGTCTCACTAGGCAGCTCAGGCTCACCTTGAACTCACTATGTAGCCAAGGATGTCCTCGAACTCATGGTGATCCTCCTGCCTCAGCCTCCCAAGTGCTAGGATTACAGGTGTGCGCCACCACACCCAGTTGCCTACCAGCCCAGTTTAGACCGATAGAGAGATAAAATGCCCCTCTTGGGCAGTCTCACCTACTCTTAGACATTTATTTCCATTATTCTGTTAGTACTTGGCAGATGGACTTCATGCCTGGGGCTTTTCTCGGCTCCTGAAAGGAGCTCACTAAATCAGAGTGTGTGTATCACTGTGTGTGTGTGTGTGTGAGTGTGTGCACGGAGGGTGGCTCAGGCTTCTCACCACCACTGAGCCACTTCCGGCTCCTTCATTTTCTGTCGGTTTGGTTTCCGCACCCCCGGGAGCGAACCTCAGTCTCTCTCAGTCACCAAGCTGCTCCCCCCGCCCCCCACTCCACCTTGGAATCCTCCTGCTGGAGCCTCGAAGCAGGCTTGGGTCACAGACCAGCGCCACCACCGCGCCTGGACCTGCCCCCTTTTCTTGAGTGGCCGAATCACCCTTCTTTCCAGGAACCTGGAATACAAGCCCTCTGCGCGGTTTGAGGCTCGGTCCACCAAAGGCTCCTCTCTCTTCCACATGAGCAGCGTCTGGAAAGGAGCTTTCCCTTCAATACGGTGCAGACAGGTACTTTTGCCTCCCCCTCCTCCCTCACCCAGAATTTTGCAAATGACAGTGAAACCGTTCCTGCATGGAAAATGCAAACTAATCTTTAGTCTGGGGGAATAGCAGACATTTTGTATCACTGAACTTCAAGGTACATACAGGTTTAACTAATTTGCAGTTGGATGCTCCTTATCTGCCTTAAGACACCTGTGCTAGAAAATGCACAGATAGACACAGGTGAGGGGTTCGAAGGCCTCACTGCCTGCCTGTGGGATGCCCACACCTGGACACAGCGGATGCATGGCTGTCAAGTGGTTGCGGTGGTTTATATTTGTGGAGTCTGGGTCTTGCAGTGCAGTCCAGGCTAGGCTTGCACTCACTATATAACCCAGGCTGGCCTTGAACCCACAGCAGTCCTCTTGCCTCAGCCTCCTGAGTGCTGGGGTGACCAGTGCCTGGGCATTGATTGTTCCTGAGGAATAAAGTTTTGAGGGTTTGGAAGGGGAGCTTGGGTTAATGAAATCGTGGGTTTATTTTATTTAACCTGGGGCTTCTGGATTTAGCTTCTAACCTACATCCACTTTGGTCATTATTTCAATGTCTACAGAAACAAACAAGTAAAAATACAATACTGAGCTCCTCTTCCGGGACTGAGCTCCATGTATTGGATCAGGGTTGACCATCACTGACCCCGAAGTGGAAGAGCGTGGGACCGAGTTGTGGGGTTTGTTTTGCTGTGGTTTCCACGCAGTAGCAGAGGGCTCTCGGTCCTCTCTGGGCTCAGGTGCCCCCCTGGAGCAGTGGCTGTTACTGTCCCAAGTGTGATCATGAGAAGGCAACCGGGCCTCTCCCCTCAGGCTAGCTTCCTGTTTCACACTTTGATTTCTCCCTCTCCTGTTGCCCTGGTACCACCTGGGCTCGGGTCACACTGTCAGGGGCTTGCCCAGAGCCAGCCCCATGCCCTTTGCATGTCCAGCCTCCAGCACTGTGAGCTGCATGAACCTTTTGGCTTTGCACAGACTGAGCCTCAGATATGTTGTCACAGTAAAGAAAATCCACCTGTTGCTCATCTCCTCTTTTATAGATTTCCTACAATGAACAATGCTCTCTTACCTTTACTAACACAGCAAGACATGACTTTTTAAGCTGCTGAAATAGTGATCTCAGGCTGAGAGTGAGTCAGTGATAGACAGCTTGCCTAGCATGCATGAAGCCCTTGTTAATACACACACACACACACACACACACACACACACAGCTGAAATAATGACCCATTCACTGGATAAATATTTACAAATGTCCAGGGATGCACACCAGACGGAAAGTGTCACTCTGGCTGGTGGGGAAATCAAATCGGTAAACAACCAGGCGTTATTACAACAGGGTGCACACCTGCAATCCTAGCACTCGGAGGCTGACAGGAGAATCGCTGCAAGTTTGAGGCCGCCCCAGACAAAAGAAAAAACCCAACCGCTGAAACAATCAGTAAACAAAGAACAACAGACACACATGTCAGGCCTTCAAATGAGTCAGTCAGGGAACTTCGAATACTGAAGGAGGCAGAGTCGGGAAGGGCTGGGGACAAAGAGGCCTTTTGTTCTCCCTGGGAAAGAGCAGCTCTGGACCAGTGGCTAGCATCATGGAGATGATTAAACTCTGTGACTCAGGAGTGACCTTCTTCCTGAACTGTGTTGAGTGTTTGGTAGCCTAACCTGGCAGATCAGAGGAAGACAGAGCAGAGTGAACCTCCAAATGTGTACTGAGATCCAGTCTCTAGACAGAGGTGGGTCGGGGCCGTATTCTCCAGGGCATGCTGACTATTGGCAATTCTCTCTTCTTTCTTTTTTTGAAACAGGATCTTACCACGTAGCCCAGTCTGGCTTCCATCTCATGGAAGTCTCCTGCATCAGCCTCCCAAATGCTGGGACTATAGGAGCGTGCCACCACGACCCAGTGTTTGGCAGCTCTTGAGGAAGACGAAGTTTGTAGTTTTCTCCAGAGTTAATTTAGAGGCAAAATCTGGTTAACAGGTGGGGTTTGGGGGTGGTTGTTTGTTTGTTTGTTTTGGTACCTAGGGGACCAAACTCACAACCTCACATTTGCCAGGCTGGCGCTTGTGCTGCTCAGCTAAATCCCTGGCCCTAACACGGTTTGAAGAGATAAAAAGAATCGGTTCACTGAATGAGAAAAAAAACCTCACGTGCTGTGCCAGTGGAGGCCAACTTTCCACTCGGTGCTTCGTGTTGCAAAGCCCTAGATCCCCAGAGCTCAGTGTCTGCCCAGGCAGCTGCCCCCAGTTTTTCCTGCTGCTTGTGCTGCAGGACAGGACAGTATCGTGTAACCCTGGTGACACAAGGAACCCATGGTGTCCGCTCGCCCCGCCGTGTTAGCTGCTTCAGTTTCTGTGCACACTGCACAGGTCAAAGAGGAGAGTTTCGTGGATGCTTGATTTCTCAGGATCAGTGAGTGTCCTCACAGAGAGTAGCCCTGCAGTGAAGACACTGCCCAGTACTGGGGCAAGGGCACCTCCTGCACCAGCGAGGCAGGGCAGTGGTCTTAGGTTGCTGCTTCTGCATGGCACTTCACTTGGTGAGACGGCTCAGTCTCCATGGGGCCGGGTGCTGCTCCTCCAAAGCTTTGCATGAATGCAGTGTCACTCTGGGGACAGTGCTGACAGGGCGGGAGTAAAGAACAAACCTGGAGCTGCCGACTGTCACTGGCTTTTTGGTATGTGTGGTAAAACATGCTATGTAAAATAAAGCATTGTGATTTTTTTTCTTTGCAGTGTGTGGAATGAACCCAGGACCTTCACATTTTGCTACCTCCCACCCATATTATATTTTTTTGATGTTGAGGCAGAGTCATTGTTACATTGCCCAGGCTGGGCTTAAATTTGGGATCCTCCTGCTTCAGTCTCCCAGAGTGCTGGGGTGACAGGTGTGTGTCACCATGCCTTGCTCTTTTGCCATTTTGAAATATACAGTGCACTGCACGAAGTACATTCATGCTATTGTGCACAGATGTCCTGGCCACTTTCTTTCACTGACACTCAGTATCTGACACCTGCAATTTAAGGAAGAGAGATTGATATTTGGTTTAAATTTCAGTCTGTGGCTGGCGCCAAGGGAGGCCAGCCTAGCAGAGGGATGGAGGGGACCACTGCTCACAGCAAGGTGTACAGAAAGCAAAGGATGATGGGAGGAGTCAGGGAGGGACTTCCACCCTTCCAGGCCACACCCCAGTGACCCACCTCCAACCGGGTCCTGCCTCCCGACAGCAAGTTTAGCTACAGCTCCCGTAATCCAATCGCCTTCCAAAGGTCCCACCTGTGATGGCTAAAGGCTTGTTTTAGTTACTTTTCTCATTTTTGAAACCAAATATGTGACACCCAGAGTTAAAAGGGGGAGAGGTTTATTTATCTCACAGTTTGCGGAGGTTTCAGTCCATAATTGGCTGGCTCCAATGCAGGGTGGCATGGCACAGGGGCAAGAGCTCATGGTGACAGAAGACAACAAAAGCAACAAGGGAAAAAAGTTGAGACATAAACCTCTTTCTGTCCCTTATATTATATCCAGTCTACCAGGGTTAGGATGGTGCCAACCTAACCAGTGGGATGATCCAGCAATCACCCACCCTAAATCCCAGCACCCTTAATCCCATATTGCACTGCAAATCACTCACACACTCTAGATTCAGACACCTCTGAAAAAAGCCCACCTGTCATGACTGCATGAGGCTTTGGGGAACATCTAGATACGAACCATCACAAGGCTCTTTGGGGACATCTAGAAATAAATTATAACATTGCCCCCTGGCCTCCAAAGGACTCATGCTCATCTCTATGCAAATTGCATTTAGTCCATCTCTAAGAGCTGCCCAAGTCCTAACAGTTTCAGAATTGCTGCCAGCCCCTATAAAAAGTAAAAAGAAGTTAAACACTGCTGGCATTCAAAGGCACAGGGCAAACATTCCCATTCTGAAAAGGAGAAACTGGGGATGGAAACCGATGGGGCCAAAGCAAGACTGAAACCCTGCAGAGCAACATTAAGTCCTCCAGCTCTGTATCTGGCACTGAGGGAAAGTTGTGGTGAGGCATGAACTCCAGTAGCTTCAGCAGCCCCACCCCCACAACACTGCTCATGGTTGGAGCCCTCGTGGTCCTGCTCTTGGGCTGGCTTTCCTCACTGCTTGTGATTTTCCTCACACATTCCACATTCCTGCCTTCTCTAACCTTCTGGGGTCTCCACTGCACCCTCAGCTCACACTCACAGCTTCACACACTGCCCTCTCAGGGGTGCACTGCCTGGTCTCCTGGGTCTTTTGAAATCTGGGTGGAAGACTTCCTGGTCCCACAACTCTTGCATTCTATGTGCGCCTAAAACCAGCACCCATGTGGATGATGCCAAGGTCTGTTGCAAGCAGGAGCAGTAGCTATCTCTATGTGTCTGGATAGCCAAGCACTGTGAATGGAACCCAGGGGCCAGTTCCCTAGGCAGTCTTTTGTTTTCTTTTTTTATTTTATTATTTATTTATTTTTTGGTTAAACTGGGGATTAAACTCATGACCATGTGCTTGCAAGGCAGGCGCTTATGCCACTGAGCTAAATCCTTGGCCCTGTTTTCTTTTTTAAAGGTAGGGTCTTACCATGTAATTCAGGAATCTGGCCTTGAACTCACAGTAACTCACCTGCCTCAGCCTCCCGAGTGCTGGGATTACAGGTATGTTCCACCACATCCAGCAAAGCAGTCATTTTGAACAGGTTTCCCTGGGGAAGTCTTGTCAAAGGAAAGTGTTTCATGTTTGTAATTTTGAGCCTGTAAATGATGAGATTTGCTGGTTCCTCACATGCCCTTGAGCCATCTTTTCTATTGTCCTGTCCCAAAGTACCTGGCTTCATTTTATTGGCAATCTTTTCAAGAGCCAAGCTCTCCTCCATTTCAACTTTATAGGCTTGAACTTTACAGAAGCTTCTTTTCTGGTGAAGCACAAAACTTTCAAAATCACCAGTTGTTCTGTTTGTTCTTGATTCTTGATGAGCTAGCTAAAAGTCCTCATCAGAACCCTTCCCACAGCCCAAATGTTGGGCTGCCTTCAAATTTCCTCTGTCAGGTTTTTTAGCCCACAGCCCTTAATTTCAGTCTCCTGCAAAGTATCAGGATGTGAGCAAAAAATGTCAACAAATTTTCTGCCAGAGCATGCCGCACACAGCTTGGAGTCCTTGCTCCCAAATGAAACTTTGAGTGTGATCTTTACCATCTGCATTTTTATCAGCATTCTAATCTGAGTTCTGACCAGAATCTTCCAATCTTACCAATCTGCTCCTAAGAACCAGGTCCAAAGGCCCTAAACCATGTGGTCAGCTAGTGTCACAGCAATGGCCCCATTTCTTAGTACCAAAGTTTATCCTCGTCACTTTGTTGCCACTGAAACACCACACCTATCACCTGCAACTTAAAGGAGGGAGATTTACTCTGGCTCACATTTCAGGCTACGTTTAGCTGACAACCAGGATCGGTTGGCAGAGGGTCCTGGGAGAAGAGAATTGCTTATGGCCTGGCAGACAGGACGAAGTGAGAGTTCAGGGAGAAACCAAGTACGGAGATACACCCTTTGGGTCACACCCACAGTGACTGCCTCTTATCACCAGGCTGTGTCTCCTAACAGCAAGCCAGCTATGAGCCCCCATAATCCAGTCACCTTGGAAAGGGCCATCAGTTATAAACCCCAACAACCCATCACCATAGCCATCTCCTCAATTCCTTTCATCTGATGAAACAGGAACCCTGTACCCATTAAACCCCATCCCCATCCTCTTTCTTCATAGGCCCTGGAACCCTCTGCTCTATATTCTGTTCCTTTTTTCAGGGAGGTTTTCTATGTTAGCCTCATGACTCTGACTATCTGAGTTTCCTCATATACGAGGGGAGTCACATAATAACAACTGCTCATTTCACTCAGCATAGTGTCTTCGTGCTTCTTCTAGAGTGGAGCCATGGACAAGAACTGAAATCAATTTCCATGCTTAGATTCAATGTTGACCTCATGGGGAAATTTGATTCAATTCTTATCCAAATCAGTTTGGGACCAAAATGGTGGAAAAACTTAAATTCTTGAACTGAGGCACCACTGTAAGTCAATAACACACATCAGAGTTTTCTTATCTTTGCATTTACTTTTGTTATCCAATTTTTTTTTAAAGACTAGTCAAGTGCAGTAGTGAGAAGGGGGGAAAGAGTAGAACAAGGAGTTCAATCTGTACTGACTGTGAACAATCAATTGAGATAACTCACTACCTTCCAACCAGCCCCAATTTTTAATTTTAACACAATTTCAGTGTTACTGGAAGTTGTAAGAGTAGCACAAAGTAATTCCATCGATTCTTCATGACCAGATTCCCCAGGATGGCTTCATTATTTTCCACACGTAGGTGTAAGGAGACACACGTAGGTGTAAGGAGACACACACAGTCGTGTTGCATGGATGGACCTGCTCTCACGAATCATTGAAATGTAAGTTGTAAATACACTGTTCCCGACCTTTACATATTTGACTCTGGATTTCTTTCTTTCTCTCTTTTAAAGAGAATAATACTGAACAAAATAAAATAGAATAAAGCCAGTCAGAACAGAACAGTAAAAGCAATACAGGACTTCAAAACAATAGGAAATCAACAATGGCTGCCATAATACCTCTTGTTACCTTCAAAATAGCTGTCCCATGCTATCAGACACATTAAAATCAAACCAAAATAGAAGAAAACCTATCAAAACAAAATAATGAAAGCATTACAGGACTTCAAAACAAAGTAACAGAAAATCAACAATGGCTACTATAATATGTCTTGTTATCTTCAAAATAGCTGCCCATGCTGTCAGACATAATAACATCAAGCAAAACAAGACAGATAAAAACCAAACAAAACAATACAATGAAAATGATACAGGAATTCAAAACAAGGTAACAGGAAATCAACAGTGGCTACCACTTTCCCTCTTCAGATGTTCCCCCCTTTAATCCTCACAGTTCCATCGTACCTTTTGGATCCCACTAACTCCTTCAGTTTCTTATGCTAGAGAGACAATGTGATATTCACCCGTGTATTACTGTGGATTTTTTAATGATAGGGATAACCTTGTACATAATAAATTACCAAAATTAGATGGTTAACATTGATATACTGCTGTTACCTGCTGCGCTGACCAGATTTATATTTTTCTGGTTGTTAGATAATAGTCTACATAACAAAACAAAAATTTTCAGGATAAGTGTCCCTCTAGGATTATCTGTTGCACTGAGGCAGCAAATCTCCTTGGCCTCCTTTACCTGGAACAGTCTGTATTTATAACTCACGTCACGTCAATCTTTGATGTTTACATCATTACTCATAACTTTTACATTTATGAAAGTATGGCAAACACTTGTTATTTTACAGCATTTTTCAGTTTAGCATGGCAGTTTTTAGCTATTTTGATGCTCAGGGATCTCACATCGGCCGGTGGAGGCCCTCAGACCAGCTTTCCGTCTGAGTCACCTTCCGTCACTCTCAGAGCACTTCCTCGTTTTCTGGCCAGTGGAATCTCCGGGTTCACGCTGTATTTTCCCGCTCTGCCCGGAGCCGCGCACTTCCTGCAGAGCAGCTGGGACTGCAGCGGGGAATCGGCCTGCGCACTGCTGCCTGCAGTGCCATCCAGGCTTCTGGTTCTCAGCAGAGGGAGGGGGCCACGCACACGCGCGAGTGTGCACACACACACGCCCTTCCCACTTGTGTGCTGGGAACC